AAACATTGCATTTTAAATTTGTTTCTAAATTGATATGCTTAAAAGTTATAATTTTAACTAGATAGGAATAAAAGCTATGTGAGGAAGAGTACAATATTTTTAATACATAAAGAAATTAAATAAAGAGATAGCACATATTCATAGAGGGAAAAATTTACTGTTGTCAAGATGTCAGTTCTTCCCAAACTGATATCTCAGTGCAAGCCTGGTCAAAATCCCAGGAAAACATTTTGTGGATATCAACAAACTCATACCTTAGTTTATTCAGAAAAGCACACAATCCAGAAAAATTATCATAATGTTCAATAACGAATCATAAGACAGTTCAAGGCTCACTGTATAGATACAATAAGTAAGGTGATATGGTGTTCACGAGAAAAAAAAAACTCTAGTGGAATAGAATGGATAATCAAAAGACTTTCTCCAGTATTTTCCACTGATATTTTACAAAGGAACAAAGCAGTACAATGAAGAAAAACTTGTACTATTTCAACAAATGGTACTGAAATAACGAGCATCCATATGAAAAATAATGCAAAAATGTTATAAATTTGAATGCAAAATATGAAACAATAAAATGCTTTAAGGATAATACATAAAATGTAGTTGACCTTGAGATTGTGCTCTTAAATACAGCATCACAGATACAATCAATGAAAATTAATTGATAACCTAGACTGTACAAAAATTAAAACCTTTTGCTCTGTGAAATAAACTGTCAAGAGAGTGAAAAGGTAAGGCATAAATAGGGAGAAACTATTTGAAATCACATATGTGACAAAGGACTTCTATCCAAAATATACAAAGAGCTCAAAACAAACATTAAGAAATTGCATAGTTTGTTTAAAAACCTACCTACACAAAAGACCTCAACAGATACAGATACTTCTCCCCGGAAGATTAGCACACAAACGTTTCTCAATATCATATATCATTAGGACGCTGTAAATTCAAACAATAATGAGATACCGCTATGCATATAACACAAGGTCCAAAAGCCAAAACATATTAATCCCAAATTGTGTGAAGGATGTGGCGAATCAGGGATTTTCATTCATTGTTGGTGGAAATACAAAATGTGTAGACAATTTAGTACTTTATTACATACTAAACACATTCCTATCATATAATCTAACAATTGCATTTCTTATTTTCTCAGATAAGTCAAAAGCTTTATGTGCACACAAAAACTGTGCACAAGTATTTATAACAGTTTTATTCATAATTGTGCAAATTTGGAAAAAGCTGCGCCTCCAGAAGTAAATGGATAAATAAACTTGCATGTCCGTACAATGTAATACCATTCAGTGTTAAGAAGAATGAGCTTCCAAGCTGTGGAAAAAAAAAAAATACTTGAATATTGTCTCAAGCCATGGGTAAAACATGCAGCCATGCTGCTAAATCAAGGAAGAGAGTCTGCAGAGGTGATATCCTACAGGATCCCAAGCATATGACATTTTGGAAAAGAAAAAAACATAGAGACATTAAAAAAGATTACTGATAACAATAGGTCAGAGCCAAAAAATTTTGAGCGCAGTGAAATTACTTTGTATGATTCTAGAAAGGTGGATAAATTCATCACTCATTTGTCTAAACCCATAGGATATCCACCAATAACAGTGAACCCTAATAAAAACTAGATGTTCTAGGTGATGATGACTGTTCATTCTGGGTTGATTGATGGTTTAAAAAAATGTGCTGCTTCGAGGAGGAATGCTAATTGTAAAGGAAGCTGTGAGTGCGCAGGAGAGGCAGGGGTACAGGGAACGCTGTGTTTTCTGCAAACCTACAAGTGTTCTAAAAAATAGTCTATGAAAAAGTCATAGGTCATCAAAAATGCCGCTATGAATCTGCAAGTGCCTCTCCATTTTTTTGCCAACTCAATTTGAGGGCAAAGCCTGCCAGTAAAATATAAATTTGCATTCCTTTAAATGATAAAGTAGCATTTTAAAACCAGTTGTCACTACTTTTATTATTTATTTGCACAATAATCGTAACTGCAGAATTGTACTGGATAAAAACAAAATTTTTATTATGGAATTTATAGCCCAAGTATAGAAAGGAAATTTAGGAAGAACTTTGCTTAAGCTCATCAAAAGAAGCATAGGAATAGAGGAAGAGATTTCAAAACCGTCAGTGTGCAGACCAGAGTTCTTCATAAATATTTATAATTCTTATACCTAATTATATATTGAGGTAAACCACACTGTCCTTGCTTTGTCCTAAGTGTTGACCTATATTTTTTAATTGGAAAGTTATGTGGATATATATTCTCAAAAATCTAATGACATTAAACATATGGCATTAAATTACACTCCCAAAGTAAATTGTTTCAACTTGGGGATTTGAACCCTTTGAGTCTAATAGAACCATCATCACTATTTCATGACTGTTTGCCTCATTGTGAAAGGGTTAAAGTCATAAATAACAACATTAACCAAGCTCAGAGAGTTCACTTTTTCCCCTCTGGACTTTTAAATTTATCATCTCTGTTGTCTGAACTAGTTCTTAGAATTTAGTTTTGCTGTTTGGTTTGTTTTGGTCTGCTTGGTACAGGTAAAAAGTTTCCCCCACTGTGATTTACATAGAAGAATTAAACCTACTTTCCACTTGAAGATTTTCTTGTGGCTTTCCCATCAGAGATGACACTTCCATACTGTGGCACTGCAGAATATTAAGATCACACTGACAGTTTATGACTCACTACTTTTCACACTTCCTGTTTCAACAGTACCGAACTGCTTCAAAGTGCCCCCAAACACAAGCTTTTCATTCCTACCTGAACTTGCAGGTAACTCCTTCCCCTTCCAATATTCTACCCTCTCTGCCTGGCTGATACTTAGCTTTGAAAACCTCAGTCCTTATGTCCACTCCACCAGCTAGCTCACTTCCCCTTATGGAAAGGCTTAAAACACCACAGTTTTGCTTCTACCCAGGATTTTACCCACATACCGGGTATATATTTCAAATGGTACTTCTCATTCATATTGCCATATTGAAAACTATTTTGAAAGCTGTCTCTCTCTTCATAAGTGGGATTTTTTTGGTCTGGTGACTATAGCTATAGATAGATATTGATATATGCCTGAACACACCCCTGTGCTTACACATTACCTGGTCCATAACCATTGCTCTAGAAATATTGGATAAATTTAATAAAGTGAAGAGTATTACTCTATACCAGTTAAGAGTTATGTTTCACTTAAAATCTAAAATATATGTTTACTGTTTCAAGAGCAAAATTTAATCCTAGAGAGTTCCACTTCTTTTTTGCCATGATTCCCCTGGCCCCTAATTTCCAGTTCTCTAATTTAAGTAAGAAGCTATTCTATTCTTGCAGTTTCTGCTAGTTGAAGAGTCACTGTAATAGGAACGCATTAATGCAAGCAGGATTTGCTCAGACATCAATAAACTCCAAAGGCTCCCGGAGGGCCAGTTGTAGTGTCAATAAAGACTCATAATGACTTGCTCCTTGGAGCATTTAGATCCAGCCCCTCGACTCGCTCTGCTGCAAAGACAAAGCTCTGAGAACTCAGCCTTTCTTAACTCCCTAGGCCCTAGGTGAAGAATGGCCAGTACTGGCAGGGGACAGTGATCTGAGGAGTTTGAGTTGCTCTTTGGGAACCCAAGGCCTCCCTTATGCATGCTAGGTGATCACTCTATCCCTGATTCTCTGGAGCTATCTCCTCTCACTCCTCTGATTCTCAAAGGAGGGCGCTGTCTGTTCTTATCTTAGGCTGTCTGGGAAGGAGTAATTTACAATCTCTCCTCTCGGCTCCTGGGGGCCTGGAAATTGATGACGTGCCTCACCATTTCTGGTGGTGGAAACGCAATAGCTTCAAAAGGCAAGAACGGTGACTGCTAGAGCCACCGCTGAACCTGAAGGAACACGGAATTTGAGATCTTGTGACCAGACTTGGGAATCCTTCCCTTGGTATCTGCGGAGCCCCAGCTTCTTGGCAAGGTGTCCTTTGACCTGAGTAGCGAGGCGGGAAGCTGAAGGTCTGTGGAGAGGTGCTGACACTGAAGATTTGAACACAGAACCCGAAAAGTGTCTGCACCAGGCAGTACAATATGGTACGAGGGAGGAGAGAGTGAGCAAAAGAGGCTAAAGCCCATCAATCCCGGAGTAACTTTCAGAGAGGAAGCTGCCCCTCTTTCTCGCCTTCCTCGCTTCTTTCCTGGCTGGATTCACGTGTTGGCGCGCGTGCTTGAATTTAAAAGAGAGGTCCGCGGTAGGTATGTAGGTATCCACGTTTCCCCCTCAGAATCTTGTTTCTCCTGAGGGAAGTTTAAATGGGTTAGCGTTTCCTTGACTTCTTCGTGAAGTTTCAAAATGACAGTGACTCACACGCATACCCATAAAGTTCCTAAGGACAGCTCTGTCATCCCCTGTTCCCTGTAAGATCTTGAGCAGGGGTCGTTACCTACCGTTCACTCGGAACAAGCGATCTGCTAATTGGCTCTTGCGTGCATGCATCTGTACTTTCTCGATTGAGCTGTGCACGGAATACTAAGCTTTCCTCTCTCTTCCCCTTCCTTGCCCCGTTTCGCTCTATCTGGACGGCCTGTTTTCTCCTGAGCGCCTTCAGATGGTTAGCAAAAGACGCTTGGAAAAAGCTGTCCCTCTTCCAAAGCCCAGCTCCGTCTAAAACAGCGTTCCTCCCACCGGAGGCGTCTCTGATCTCTTCCCCGCGGAAGTGCACGCTCCATGCTGATGCCCACGGACTGTCTCGGTGCTCCCGGCTGCAGAGAGTGAGTGCTTTGGTGTCCTAGGAGATGGTGAGTGTGCGTGTGTGTGTGTGTGTGTGTGTGTGTGTCTGTGTGTGTGCGCGAGCGAGAGCGCGCGCGCACACGACCGCGAGCTTCCTCCCCGGCCCCGTGCACTCAGAGCCGGCGACGTTACTCTGCGAGCAGTCGCCAGCAACGCGAGGCAACTGCAGCCTCCGCCTCCTCCGCCCGGTGATTGGCTGGCTTTGCTCATCACTTCCCTGCTAGCAAGAGGGAAGGGCCAGCGACGCCCCCGAACCCAGCTGCAGAAGCGGCCGCCACCTCCGAAGCACAAGGTGTCACATCGGAAAAGGAACCTGAGCCCGGGAAGGCGGAGCGGAGCAACGGGGCCGGGCTGGCGCGCACTGCGCTCCGGGCGCTGGGCAGCGCGCGAGCCCCGGGGAGCGCGGCGGCAGCGGCGGACCCCAGTGACCCGATCCGGGGATCCCGGCTCCACGCTCTTCTCGCATTTTTCAGATCCACTTCCCTCCCCGGACGCTTGCCCCCAAACGGAGCCTTTACAGCCAGAGAAGGTGCGGGAGCCGCAGCAGCCTAGACTTTCCTGGGCACCCAAGATGCGCTCCATTAGGAAGAGGTGGACAATCTGCACTATAAGTCTGCTCCTGATCTTTTATAAGACAAAAGAAATAGCGAGAACTGAGGAGCACCAGGAGACGCAACTCATCGGGTAAATGAAAGCTCCATTTCAGGATATGACCATAAGTCAAGCCTTAGATGCAATGTGTGTACTGGCTTGGAGTGATGATCGGGATACTACGTGTGTGCGCTGGAGCTCAGCTCTTGGTTAGCGATTCTCGTGAATTAAGTAACAAAGGCTGTTGTTGAGGTGTGAGAGTGTGTGTGTGTGTGTGTGTCTTTGTGCCTGTGCGCGTGTATCTCTGTGTTTCTCCAAGTGAGTTCAACTTCCCTGTGCAGGGTGCAGGGGTGGTGGTGACAGTTGTATTGGCTCCGGGTGCCCGCACGCCAGAGAAGTCACTGCAGAAGTGTCAACAAAGAACGTTTGCCCTTGTCCTTTAAATCCGTGGGCAGAACTCAGTCCTCAGCTGAGACGTCTCTATTCACCAAAGGTGTCCTTCCCTTTTTTCTCTGTTTGCAACTATAGGGAGTAAGGAGGGAAGCTTGTTTCCTGAAAGATTAAAGTTAAAGCCCACACAGAAGGAAATCGTTCTCCTGTTTCTCTACTTTTTTGTTTGCTTCTTTTTGGTGTTGGGTAGATCTGTGTATTTTCATGTGAATTAGACACTCTAGTACCACCACCAAGGCTAATGCCTTATTGGCTTGTCCAGGGATAAAAGGCGGTCCTAGTTTTAGAAAGAAGCTTGGCTACTGTATCTTCACCGACTGTATTGTTGCTATTTCTTTAGTTTGGATGAGTTCAGAATCTCCCCCGCCCTAGTAAGTTCTCTAAATATCACACTTCCTTCCTCCCTCCCCTCAGCCCTTCAGCCTTTGAAGTTTACTCAGGAGGTGCTGTAACTCTGTGTGGCTGACAGACCTTGGAAGCTTTTTCTGAGGATGTGAACCTGGTTGTCAACTCTGTTCAAAGTCCTGTTTGGGAAGTCCTCCCTCCTTGGGAGGCTCCGCTGTCGGAAACTACATTAACGGAGGTGCCCTCCTGGGTTTTATTTTCTGGACACTGATTAAAAGGAAGGGACTTTGCTATGGTATGTGTGTGTGTGTGTGTGTGTGTGAGAGAGAGAGAGAGAAAGAGAGAGAGAGAGAGAGAGAGATGGAACTGCTAAAATACCCATTGTTAAACTTCATGGAGTCCATTTCTTCATATGCCTGCTCCTCCCTAAGTAATGAGCATTTAAGTGAGCACAAGGGCAGATTTATCTTTACAGAAGGAAATGCTGTTCGAGGAAAGCCAGGGTAACAGTGGTACAGTCAAGAGGGAATGGCAGAGAATGAGAAGCTAATAAGGAATGGACTGAATGGTCGTTATGCATCAACAGATCTATTCAGGGTCTATTCTTGGGAAAGAAAAAAATATAAAAGAACCCCATGAGGTCGTTTACACAGGAGTGGGCGGGTTGAAAACCCCTTCGTGTGAATTGTCAGAGAAGGACTTCAGGCGGGGGTGTGGGCAGCGCGGCATACTTGCGCCTGTCAGGCAGACAAAGGGGTGTTCGGGAGGTGCTGGCCCGCCTGGGCTCGGGTGAGAGGCGAGGCCGGGGCGTGAGGGTCGAGGCTCTTTGTTCCCTGCGGGCCGGTGGGTTCCGGGAGAAGCCTTCGTCCAAACAAAGCCGCTGAGCCGGGCCAGAACGTTGGGGGTCTTTGCCGGTGGCGCGGGACCGCGCCGAGCAGCAGTGGGCGGGGTGGGGGCCTGACGCAGCCGAGGCGTCCTTGCCAGCCTCTGCAAACTGGCTCGGGAAGGAAGAGGTCTCCCAGCCCCATCCAGGGCAGCCAATGCACGCCTCAGGATGCTTGGGTGCAGAGGCAGCAGCATGACCCCTCCCTGGGTAGGCACGGCCCAGGGCACCGAGGAAGAAGAGGGCACAGGCAGGGATCCGGGCAGAGAGGCTGAGCCCCCTCAGGCACCCTTTGCAAGAGGAACCACTGCGGGCCCTTCCCGGTTCCTTTCAGAAGGCATGGGGCGTGCGTGCGAGTTAACCAAACAGGAAGAGAGGTGAGCGCCCGGCCTGTCCCCTCCTCCCAGACGGCTGGGAGCAGAGAGGGAGGCAGGCTGAGCAAGACGGGGAGGAATCAGGCTCCCTTCCTTTAAAACAAACAAATCACTTTCCATGCTCAGCCGGCACCGCAGCTCCTCCTCCTTAATTAAAACCCGCAATTGCAGTTATGGGGGGCCAGGCAGAGCGGGCGGCTGGCGTCTCTGTCACACACGTGCCCCAAGCTTCCCGGCTGTCTCGCGGTGGCCCGGCTCCTCCACGGACCTCAGGGCTGCGTCGTTGCGGGGAGCGGTTCCAGAAGCACAGCTCCAGTCCTGAGTACACGTCCTCTTTTTTCCCGGGATGAGATATTCAGTGGAAAGGCTTGTGATCCAGGCTCCTGGTTTTAACTCCCCGGTGGTGGAGGAGTTGAGTCATCACACTAATCATCTCATTGACTCGCTTTGCACCCAAGCCACGTGGAGAGGCCGTTTTGGAATGAGTTGAATTAGATGGGAGGTTTGGTCCAGGCGTTTAAAAGTGAAGTGACAGAGGCAGTCTCTGGCCTTTGGGGGGCACTGCGTACCTTGTGGGTGGCCAGTAGCTTCAGTGCAAGGCCTAACATAGTACTCTGGTCTTAAAATATTCCCCTAAATTCATAGTTAGTTTTCCTGACTGCGTATTTTTTTTAATAGGCACGCAATCTTTTGTCTTTTGAACATCTCTTCTACTTTGAAAAGCCGGGCCTCGGCTAAAGTTAAGGTAGCATTACTCTTCCTGCATACGCTATTGAGCAATCTTTCTGTGCAGAACGAAGGAAAAGCAAGAGCAGCCCAGCTTTTCCATCTAAGGGCTGCCTGCTCACACTTGTAGGAAGTCACCAGCAGCACTTTTAAAAGGAAAGGGGGCTCATCCCGGAACTGGCCAAGCAATGATGGGATACCCAAAAGTGATATTTTCTTCCACAAAAGTTTATTAATTGGTTCTTATGATTACTCAGTTAATGAAATTGAACCCAAAAGGCATTGAGAGTATTCAGGGTTATGTTCTTCACTTTTTTTTTCTTAATGGGCCTCACAGTGGGCCTATGATTTAACCGGCTCTCCCTGAACTTTGAA